AGACGCCGGATCTGTGGAAAACTCTTTAGAAAACTTTTTCAAAATCCAACTCTCATGCCATTAGAAAGAGGATCATGAAAAACCTATAAAAAAATGGTTCATGAAATTTTAGTGCACTCATAAAGCTAAAGTCCGCCTGCTCTGACAAAAAATGCCCACAGTGCAACTCCATAACAACAATTGTCTTAACTCTATCGAATGGCTATTTCAGAATTTTTTAAAATAATATAAAAAGTTTACAGTCGCCATTTCCCAAGTCAAATTTTTGATAAAATCACATTTTACGACTACTACTGTTCAAAACTGACATGGCTTTTTTTGAAAAAGAGCATGAATTCCTACACCACTCGACGTGTTGGCTACAAAACTAGCATACTGAGAACTTGGTGGCTAGTTTGGAGTCAAATTTATATTGAAGTTGGTATAAATTTGGGAGGATCTTAGTGGAAATACTCAAGGAGCAAAATAAATTTAAATATATTATTGTTCGCAAAAGATGTTAGTAGAGGAAATTAAACTATACGAGGTACATAATTATTACTTATGTTTGTCAGTTAGGTAATTTCTTGTTTAATAATAATAAGTAAATCGGTCACATAAGAAATAAAAACACCGGTAACATCAACAACAATAACAACAATGATAAAACGAATAACATTAATCAAATCTCCCTATAAATATGTTCATACAAATGATTCAATACTAATTTCGAGCACAGAACAGGGTAATTTCAGATCAAATTTTTTAATCACATCTGGATGTAATACGCCTATTGTACCAATATTCAAACCACGTGCTATTACTTGAGCAAATCGGCCAGGAAAAAAGCCAGGATCTGCAGAAAAAAACACAAGAATGTTAGAAGTTTTTTTTTCTTAATCTATTTCTTACCTTCATAATTACTATTCAAATAATAACCGTCTTTACTAGTATCATATTTCACTTTTAACAATTGCATAACACGATCGAGTAGGCCATGAATTGTTTCAAAACCCGGAGTTTTGTTATAATAGATAGCACATAAACGTCTCTCATTTCGACTACCGGTATCTTCAAACGAAACACAATATTGGAAAAAAACAAATAAAAGAACTTTTAATCTACTTTTTTTTACCTCGACTGTTATCTTTCAATATAACATCAGCTACTTCAAATAACAGAATAGGTAGAGCTGTACCGCGATTACATGCAACTGTTCGCAATAAACCAGGAAGTAACGATGTTCGACCAATCTAAATATTAAATTATTTTCATACTCTTCAAATACTAATCTCACATTAAATTTGAAATAAATATAAATAAATCCTAATGTTTATATACTGTGGTTTAACGTACTTGAAAATCGAGTGTTTTGGGATTGGCAATGTGAACCGCTGGAATTGTCTCAGTTGTTTTTCCGAATTTTTCGGCAACATCTGGACATGAGCACAGTGTAAATGTAAGCGCTTCAGTGAAACCACATTCAGCAACCGAATGCCGAAGTAAATCAGTAATACGATTAATTTCATACTAGAGTAAATAAACAAACGATATACCTTTAGTACTACTATCAAGAGAAACGATTCACTCACCTGATTTCCGATACAACTAGTTTTTGGAACAGTTTTTTGAATTTTATTAAAACCATATGCAACTGCACAATCTTCAGCAATATCACAAAAATGTAATATATCGGCTCTCGTTGGAGGTATTGTCACTTGAAGTGTATCTGTATTCAAAACACATGTTTTTAAGCACATACGTGTCAGTAGTTGAGCCGCTTCTTTTGCGTCAACACTAGAAAATACAAAGAATTTCACATAAACACCAAAAAACAACAACAACACAACAGTGGCCATACTTAATTCCAATAACTTGATTAATTTTGTTTACAGAAACATTTTCAGTACGAGAATTAAGTGTCTAATTAACAAAGATAGACAAAAAGGTCATATCATCGTAAATAGAAAATATCATGTTTGAATACTAACAGGATAGGTTGTCACTTTACCATCGAATTGTTCAACTTCAACAGCTTCTATTCTAAACAGAAAAGATGATGAATTCAACTTTTTGTTACATCTTTTTTAACAAATATTTATTCAATTTCACTATCAATAGATCTACTTACAAGAAAGGTGTACTGCAATATTGACTAAACATTGTTACAACTGTATCGAGCACAATTTTTGCTTTATGTAAATCCTAAACAAATTCGAAGAAAAATTTTTTTTTTGATTTATTCAATTATTTTGTTTCACTTACTATCGCTGTACATTCAATAAAAATATTTTTAGTATTCAAATTAATTTTGCTATGATCACCTAGAGAAGAGTATAAACGAATTGTTGAAAGAAAAACTACAATCAAACTGAGTACAAACTGTTAATAATTGGTGGTAATGAAAGAACAACTTTTTTCGAATCGTATATGATAGGATAAACAGAGGAATCACGAATAAGTGGTACATATCGTTTCAAATGACTATCTTTCTAAATATTAAAACAGAAGACTCGTTATATAGTTAAAGATTTTTCTAATAAAGGACATCTTTACATCAACCAGGATGGTTGGTTAGTTTGTTTGCATGTTTTCTGATAAAATGATAAAAATGTCAAAATGTCATATTCTTTGTACTGCTGTCAAACTACGTTTAAAACCTACCATATAAAATTCCATCAATTCATCAGCTGGAAATTCTCTTGTTTGATTTAATGGTTTAAATTTAATTTGTGTAGGACGTTGAGCATCATAAATAAACGGTGGTTGAATTGTATCTAAATCATGTGTACCAATAGCAACTAATTTTCGTTCACGACATAAATTTTGATGTAGTTTGTCTTGTAATTCAATAAAACTATTGTAAGTTTCATTGTTAAATGTTACATTACGTAATACGGCACCAACAACAAACGGTCGAATACGTTGAGTCTAAAATATTTTTTATTAAAATCTTTGATTTAAAAATATTTTTGTTTTACTTACATCTGGTAAAACTTTAAGCCGTATAATTTTATCTTTAGATGGTACAGTTAGATGGTACTCAGGTATGCCATCACCACTAAATATACATTATTATTTTCATTTTGAAAAACAGCACTATGTTTTCATTCAATTGACATTACTTGTGTAAAAACGTTTTGAGTGCACGACTCAATCCTTCCAAACACAATAAATCATAACTAGAAGAAAAAAAAAAGAGTAGTAAGATATCTGTTCATGTACATATTGACTATTACACACCGATTAGCTGGAATTTCGATTTTGTATTCAGCGTCGCCATTTGATGAATCAGCTAATGGTTCCTAAAGAATAAAAGTAGAAATAAAAAATAAATAAATAAGAGTAAATTAAAGATCATCGTACAATAGAATCTAATTCAATTCCAAAATCGAAACATAATTCATCAAATTCTTCATCAGCTAGAAAAAGAATGACAATAAATAGTGAAAGAATAAAACTTCCATAAATTATGTACTAAATGTTTTTCCTAATTCACGAAATAATGAACTGCGTTTAACACCAATAGTAGGCATGATAAAATAATATCTAAAATAAAATAGATAAATCCTAGTCACATTTAGATTCTTACACTAGTAATTATGATTCCTTCTGAACATGGGATAAATAGGAAACGAAAATATCTGATTGTTGAACAATCATAAGACAAGGATATATCTTGCCACTTAAATATAAACGCAAGTTCTTCATTATTTATCGTAAAATAAAGGAAGAAGACTTGATATTCGTCATAGAACGATGGCCTGGTTTATTGTTATTAAAACAAAACAGAGAATAAATGTATAAATTAAGACAAAAAAGAAAAAAAAACATAAAATGCAAAAAAATTATGGAAAGAATTTTGAGCAAAAAAGTACAATAAATTCATTTTTTTCCATAAATATCGAAGAAATAGTGAATAAAAGCACCAGGCAAAATTGGTTTGAAAAAAAAAACAAATTATTAAATATGAGATTGCACAAATAAAAAATAGAGAGATTTGTATGAGAGTGAATGAATAATCATATTAACAAAGAAATAAGAGAAACACTGTTTAAGTCACTGTACACAGAAAAAAAGTGGATGAAAACATGGAATTATACTTTCATCGATAGAAAGAAGAAGCGGTAATCGGTAATTTACTGTTGATAACGGTAAGCTAAATATACCGATACTTATAGTAAAAAAAAGTGAAAAATATTTTACCGACGGTTGATGTCATTTGCAGAAGGGTAGAACATCAATTTATTTAAGAATAAAGGAGGTAGACGAGTTAATTAGAAAAAAGATAACTACAATGTTAACTATTGTTCACTTTCTCGGGCTTAGTAAGGCTGTGAATCTGAGAACCGATAGTATGTGAACTATGAACAAAGTTTGATTTACTTGCACAGTTCATATCACTGTCTTTTTATAAAATAAAAAATTGGAAAGAGACAAAAAAGCTATTGCATTCCTATACGAGCTTGGAAGATCTGAAGAAGAAAAACCCAAGAAAATTGGACAAATTAAGCACCAGTAAAAAGGCTGTACTAGTAAAAAAACATTAACGGTAAAAATATTTGATACCGTGATAAAAAATAAGTAATGGTCAAAAGAATTTATGGATATAATTTACTGCAGTAATGGTAAATGGATTACCGCTTATCCTTAAATTGATACCAGTAACAAAGAGATAACAGAAAAAAAAATAAATTAACAATAATAAATAAGAACACTTTTTCTTTTTTGAGCAGAAAACACCACAGCTAAACTTACTTTTACTTTTACAAACACCATCGTGACAATCATCTGACATCATCTACATGAAAAGAGAATGTTTACCGGGAATTCATATTCATATAATCAGGTTGAACATAATATTGTTGTTGTTTCATTTGTCGTTCGACAAAATATTCAATGACACGATAAATGAATTCATATTGTCGTTCAGTTTGAACTAATCCTGGAATGAAGAATATAATTTGAGATACATTAAACTATGAAAGAAAATAGATTGTACCTGATCGCTGTGATCGTAAGTGTATTATTAAGCCTGGTATATCAATTTCAGCAAATAAACCTTCAGTTTGAATTTTATTTAAAATTATATCGATAGCAATTGTTGCACCAGAACGACCAATACCTAAAAAAATAAAACAAAATCATTTTTTATTACATATCAGAGATTGTCGTGGATATGGGAATCCTAGGGGATGAGACGAGATTTTTTTCAAGTATCTATGAGACAGAGCAAAATCTTCATCATATGAGTTTTTTCTTCGTTTTGTTATTGGGTAGTTCATTTTTTTACTACAAAAGTCTTGTGATGCATAAATATAATATAGTGACAACGTAAAAGGTTGATTCTGTTTAACAAGAGATAGTTTCTGAGATAAAAATTAATTTAATGTAATTTCGTGGGATTTTATGGGATGAACATTTTCAGATTCTCATAGACTTAAAGAGTCTTTTCCGTAGCAGGAAATTTTTGTCCTATCCTCGTCCCACGATGATTCGTGTTGTAAATATTGTGAAAGTAAAAAAAGACTGAATAACACTAACAGATATTGTTTTTCTTCTCATAACATCTTGCACAAAAAAAATGTCTCGGAAAATGTCTCTTACCGGCACTGCAATGAACTACCAGTGGTGACAAAGCATCCTGAGTTTTATTTCTTCCAAATCTCTCAAAAAAATCGAGTAAAACATGTAACTGTGTCATATCACGTTGATTAGAATTATTTGTCGGCATTAATGGAGAACCTAAATCCAAAATAAACAAAACTCGTTTTCGATGTATAAGAATGGACGTTATTCTTACCATGATCTCCCCAAGCTAAATATTGATAATGTAAAATATCCCAACTTTTTGTGGGCTGCATGTCATCGGTCAGATAGACTAAACGGAGGATACGTAAACGATAAAAACAATCATCATCATTTTGATAAGACTGCATTGACTGTGATTGCTGAGAAGGTAAAATACTACGTGACGAAGACAGATTACGAGAACCGGCAGGGATTTGATGAGGTCCAAAATTTGTTTCACTTAAATTTTCAATCGAAATATTTCCATACTGAACTGTTCCATGCAATTCAGGCCAATAACGAGCACATTTATTCTAAACAGAGAGACGTGTTTCAAGAAATTCTTCTGTTGTACAAACATAAGAAATTCCTGATAGAAAGAGCAGTCCTTTTCAGAAGCCTTAGTATAGTCTCTCGCTACAAACCGCTAACAATTTCTGTTTAATCACAACTAAGCACTCACCAGTTCCAAGCAAACACTTATAAAGATTCCTATTTTGTACTATTAAGACCCCCGCTCAATTCCGACCAAGTTTTGCTACAAGTAAAATCCAATTTTTGTCTTCTCTATCTGTTAATAGAATTGAAACTGTTAATTCAGCCGAAAAATCTGTTAGAATTGGATAAAACTTACCGTTTTTGTAAATTTCACCAATTCTTATCCATTTTAGCGTTTTTTCCGACTGATTTAACAGCAATTCTACTGAAGAGACAGAGAAGATGAAACTGGATTTTTCTTATAAGGCTCTTCAAATTTCAAATATTTATTACCAATTTGTTTTTAGCTTGTTTATCCATCATGAGATAGAGCTTGACAAACTGATTCAGAATATGTAGGTTTTAGCTTTAAAAAGTTGACTTTGGGGTGAAAACTTTTCAAAATACTGGAGGGGTTTCAAATTTCGGAAAATATTCAGTTTTCAAAAAATATTAAAAGTGTTTTTACTGTTACATTCTCAGAAGCCAAACATTTTTTTTTGAAACCAGCACCAAAAACTGAATCTAGAAGTGTTATTTAAATAACACTTCTAGATTCAGTTTTTGATGCTGGTTTCAGAAAACTTGATCGGAATTAGGAAATTGTTTGCTTAGAATTGAAGTATGCTTAATCGTAACAGCGTGATGGCGATATTTTGGCTCATCTCGAAGATTTTATTTGATCTAAAATAGACTGCTGTTCATTACAGACCTTGCATCAAACGGATCTTTTTTAAAGTTTAACATTTCTCAATATTTAAACTTCAATGAACTCAGTGAAAATTTAGTGTCGCTGAAACGTGACAGCCTTACGAGCTCCAGTTTGTTGATAGTCCAAAAATCGATGATCCGAACAACTGTTTTAAATGTTAAGTATCCAGTGGGACGCAAGATATCTTCTAGGATAAAAATTATAACAAAGTGTGGTCAAAAGATAACAGCGAACGGTTTTTCAAGCACAAAAGTTAATTCGATTATAGATACGGACATAGTAATATGGATCGATTTGTCTTACTTTCAATCCTTCTATTTCTCTAGTAATCATGACAATACATTTGACGTTCTCTTGATAGACCATATGCCAAAAATCTTGAATAGTATTAGGCAATGGACCTTGTGTGGCTATATATTCTCGACTAGATGGTCCAATAGACTTAATTCGATTTGCATTTATATAATCTGTTTGTGAATAATTTTTTAGTGTTACTCGTGTTTCATCATAAGGCAGTATATTTTTAAAACGATTACGTGGACGATATTCTGGTTTTTCACCTGCTCGTTTTTGATCAACTGTGGAATTAAGAGGCTCACACTGTTGATTTAATAGTTCAAATTCAATCGAAAAACTATAATGAAAATTCAATAGAAGAAATTACAATATAAATACTATTTTATTACTCACCCATTTCGTTGTCCATGTGGTGGATGAATTACTTTCGATAACTGTTCACAACGTTGAATAATATCTTTCGCGTAAAACCAATTTGAATAACATGGTTCAACTAAACGAAATGCATTTCCATTCGTTGCTACAAGAATATTGTGTTTTAAATAATAATGAATAAGATCATCCAACGTTTTAAAACGATCAATTTGTTCACGTCTGCCTTTTCCATCGAGAAACCATTCAGAGTTTAAACATTTTATTTTTACATTTGCAATGTCTGTTAATGTTTTAACAGAAATAACATAGTCTCCCGGTATTGTTTCACTATCGCGAACAAGAAATAAACCAACTTTATCACAAGCCATTAATAAAGACGAGGCTTGTGAATGAGAAATTGAACCATGATAATATCTTAAAAAAAGGTTGAAATAATCAGCTATATATACTTGTATAATTTGCTTGGGAATATAAATCAATGGTTACCTGTCTAATGTTGGCATTTGTGCTAATACTGGTGTTGTTAATTCAATTGTTTCATTATTTTTCTCTTTTAATTCTCCAACATTTTGTCTATAATGTTCAATCATATCATATAACGTTGCAAAACGATCTTGTCCTTCACCAAAATCAAAACCATCATTTGTACGTTGGATACGAATATGAGTGATATCACCATTAGCCCGACTAAAAGAAAAGTCAAACTTGCATACTCGAAATAGTAGCTAAAAACGAAAAATGATTACCGAACGGATAACACATAGGAATCTGGACGACTGGTCGAAGGACGAACTAAAAAACTTCCATTTATGGCCTTTTCTTGTAAAAGTTTTTCAGCTTCGGTGCCTGATAAATCTCGATGAAAAAATCTAATGTAAGCAAAGCAAAATATTACAGTTCAACATGGGATGATGCAACACAAAACAGTACTATACCCTCGCATTAACCGTCCCGCCATTCAGGTTTTTTCCTAATATACATGAAAAAAATAACAAATATCTAGCACATCTAAAAGGACACAATAGAGAATTTTATTAGCGTATGAAACACGCGATATGAAATTGGAATTTTATGAATAAACTTCAGTAGGTAAGCGTAAGTGTTAATTATGTATTCTCTCCATTTTTGCATAAACTAAGGCGTTCAAAGAAAAACGATCATTCCTTCATGAGCGGAATAGTGTGAACAGAGCCAAATGATCTGCTATTTTTCTTTTCCTACTGAGTATATTTTATTCATTATGTACTTTTTAAAACACTTTAGTCTATTGAACACGAACGTAACGTCCTGCTTTGTTAGCTGTCCGATCGATTCCGTTACCATTGCTTCCGCCCCCATTGTTCTGCTCAATTTCAAAAACTAATGTTACTGATTTCTAAAAGAAAGCGAAGACGAGTAGTATTATACTCTAGTATTAACCGTCCTATCGTTCAGATTTTTTTCTAATATACATGAAAAAACTAACAAATATCTAGCGCATTCAAAACGACACAATCCTAGTTTTACTATAAAATTATTATTTTTTCATAGAAAAACAGTATACGAGTCGTGTAAATGTAAGTTAGATAGGCACAAAAGTTGCTGGATCGTAGATCCACATTTTTCTTCCATCCATTCTCAACTCACGTTCCTCCTGAAAATCTTTGGTAGTTGAAAAAAGGCGACTTCGATTTTTATATGATTGTAACTATCGCTAAATGCTAATCATCCAACGAGTTTCAGACCATGTAGACTACTACAATATTGAATGAAACTAGAATGGAAATCGGATTGGTAGGTTTAACGGGGAAACGTTTCAGCCAATCATATTCCGTTAGACTCTGACTAAGAATAAGAGACTAAGACTGTTTTATTCACGAAAAGTGTGAGTCATCAAAGGTCCTGTAATAACAATGACTCAAGCCAAGCAACATCAAAAAGAGTAAAAAAAGAACAGAATAAACAAGACAACTAACGTTAGGACCAGAAGTAGGGAAAAGGAAAAAAAGAAAGTAAAAAAGTTTTTCTAAAAAAAAAATACCAAAAAAAAGAACAATATAAATTCATAACTAACATGTTTTACTGGAAGAGGTACTGAAGTAAAGCTGTTTTGAAAGACGTTAAAGAATAAAGACAAATAACTGACTCTGGGAGATTATTCCAATCAGCAATGGTTGAATAAAAAAAAGAATGCACCGTTTTCGGAGAAAAACCATCAACAGAAGATGGAATGTGAACATATTTAGAGTGATGAAGACGTAAAGATGAGTAGTGAGGACGAGGAATATAAAAAAGAGAAACAGAACTTAGATGATGATAAATTTTGAAAAACTCTAGAAGTCTAAAGTATTTACGATGAAGAGAGTTTAGGAAGAGAAAGTTGAGATATAAGTAGGGAACTAGAAGAACGATAGTCAAAATTGCGAGAGATAACACGAGAAGCAAGTTTGTTTACAGAATCAAGAATAGTAAGAGAAAACGAACTATCATACAAGGCACAGCAATAGTCAATTTTAGGAAGAATAGAAGAAAGATAGATTCGACGCCGAACTTCAGTTGGAGCTAATTCAAAGACACGATTCAATGCTCCAGGCTGCGCCGACAAGCAAGAGCAATGCCCTTGGCATGATCATTTCACCTAAGATCGTGCGAATCAAGAACGCCAAGACAACGAACAGAAGACACAACAGAGAGAGGAATATCATTGAGATACAATTGATTATAAACATACGGAAAGAGATGGAAAGAAAAAGGAAGCCAACAACATTTAGAAACGTTTAGAGACATGAGATTGGAAGAAGACCAATGAGAAACAGAGTTTATACAGTTTTGAACATGAGAAAAATTTGAAGAATCAGTAGGAGAAAGAGGAACAATCAAAAAAACATCATCAGCAAACAGACAGATTTCACAATTAGGTGGGAGCGACAGAGGTAGATCATTAATAAAAATAAATAAAAGAGGACCAAGCACACTGCGTTGAGGAACATCAGAAGGAACGGGAGAAGAAGAGACAGAATCATTCACACGCACACACTGAGAACGGTTCGAAAGATAAGAAGATAGAAGAGATAACAAAGAATCACGCACACCACAACGAGATAATTTTTCTAACAAGAGAGAATGAGGAACGGACTCAAATGCTTTAGAAAAATCAAAAGACACACACTTTACACCAGCATTCCAAAATTTAAAGACGGTTGAAGATAGAAACAACAAAGCATCCAGAGTAGAATGTTTAGGACGAAAACCGAACTGTATGTTTACAAAAAAGGGTGTTTCGAAAGATGAGAAAAAATAAAATTATAAGTTAGACGTTCAAACACTTAAGAAACAACAGGAAGAAGTGAAATAGGGCGGTAGTTAGAAATATCGGCAAGAGCGCCTTTTTTATGAACAAGTACAATGAATGCAGTTTTCCATAAACTTGGAAAATTGCTAGTAGAAAGACACAGGTGAAAAATGAAGTGAAGGTGAGGTGAGAGAATGTCAGCACAAGAGAGAAAGGAAGAAGGAATTCCATCAATACGAACAGTAGACTTTTTATCCAATTTCTGAAGTAAACGCTCAACATCTCGTATGGAAAAGTCGAAGTGCTTATCCATCATTGGTAAGTCTGGAGTGGTAGAAGGAGGAATTTGCCCCTGAAGAGAAGAATAACAAGAGGAAAAATGAGAATTGAAGAGTTCAGCTTTATCCGCATCTGTGGAAACAGATTTGGAGCCTAGAAACAGAGACTGAGGTAAATTGGAGTGAGAAGAGGATAGTTTCTTGATAGAGCTCCAAAACTTGCGACGATCAGAAAATAAAGAAGAGAGAGATCGGAAGTAAGAAGATTTTTCACGTCGATAGAGGGAAAGAACAAGATTTCTTGCTTCATGAACGAAACGGAAGAGAACTACCTTATCATTTGTGCCCTCAACAGGAGACAAATTCTTGACGATGATGCTTTTCCGTCGCTTCTCTCGTTCCAAGTTTTCGTTCAACACATCAAGACGGTCAATAAGTTGATCATGTTTGTTGTTAATGGTTGTTAGGTGATATTCGATCTTGTCGATTCGATCAGATAACGTCTAGAGACAACGAGGCGGAACACGATCAACGATTTTATCACTCAAGCACTTAGGACAAAACAAGTTAGAAAACTGTTGTTGTTCGGCTAGAGTTTGATACGCCGTATATGCTATTGGTGAAACGTTAACACATGCGATGTGGAACCAAGTGTCGCATACATCACATTGAAGAGCATTACCGTTATCGCTGACGATAATCTGGCAAGAGCAGAGAGCCGGAGGTTGTGGTTCACCCACTTTAGAAGAGTCATGCGTTTTGCGACGTTTATTCATCATGGTAGCGAGATGAGAGGAATTGAAGAAGAATAAACGAGGAAAAATAAGTAAAATAAACAAGCAAAAATAAACAAAGCTAACACTATATGAAAATACAAGACGTTTCGCAAATGCTCGACCTCTCTCCTTATAATAATTTGTAATATAAGTGACTAAGACTGTTTTATTCACGAAAAGTGTGAGTCATCAAAGCCCTAGTGAATGTACTGAGCTAAGGGTACCTGAAAAAGTATCCTGCTACTAGTATGTCACAGGAACTTTCGGATACTGAAGTACCTTAAAGTACTTTTAGGTACGTATAAGGTACTCGGGCGGGTATCCTGTTGCCAAAATTGCAGTATGTTGATGATCGAACCTAATATTTGGCTTTTTTTCATTTTTGTTTTTCTCAAAGGAATTTATGACATTTTTTCGATTTTATTTAATTTAATTTTTCTAATTCTGAA